AATATGAGCTAAGATGAGCTAAGAAGATAGGATAGGATAGGATAGGAGAGGATAGGAGAGGATAATAATAATAATAATAATAATAATAATAATAATAATAATAATAATAATAATAATAATAATAATGATAAAGTTGGAAGGGACCTTGGAGGTCATCTAGTCCAACCCCCTGCTCAGGCAGGAAACCCTATACCATTTCAGACAAATGACTGTCCAGTCTCTTCTTTAAAACTTCCAGTGTTGGAGCATTCGCAGCTTCTGGAGGCAGGTTGTTCCAAAGGTCAATTGTTCTAACTGGATAGGATAGGATAGAATAAGATAAGGTAAGGTAGGATAGGATAGGATGATAGGATAGGATAGGATGATAGGATAGGATAATAGGATAGGATAGGATGATAGGATAGCATAGGATAATAGGATAGGATAGGATAGGATAATAGGATAAGATATGATGATAGGATAGGATAGGATAGGATAGGATAGGATAGGATAGGATAAGATAAGGTAGGGTAGGATAGGATAGGATAATAGGATAGGATAGGATAAGATAGGATAGGATAAGATAAGGTAAGGTAAGGTAAGGTAAGGTAGGATAGGATAGGATGATAGGATAGGATAGGATAGGATAAGAGGATAGGATAAGGTAAGGTAAGGTAGGATAGGATAAGATATGATAGGGTAAGATAAGGTAGGGTAGGATAGGATAGGATAATAGGATAGGATAGGATGATAGGATAGGATAGGATGATAGGATAGGATAGGATAGGATAGGATAGGATAGGATAGGATAGGATAGGAGAGGAGAGGAGAGGAGAGGAGAGGAGAGGAGAGGAGAAGATGCCCGCTCTCAAAAGAAAATAAATATATTTTCACGTAAAGTATTAGTACCGCTTTATACAGCCTTAGTAAGGCCACACCTGGAATCCTGCTTCCAGTTTTGGTCACCACATTCCAAAAAAGATGTTGGGACTTTGGAAAAAGTGCCAAGAAGAGCAACTAAGATGGTTAAAGACCTGGAGAGTAAAACATATGAAGAACGGTTGCAGGAAATAGCAGGAAATGGCCAGTCTAGAGAAAAGAAGAACTAGGGGTGACATGATAGCAGCATTCCAGTATTTGAGGGGCTGCCACAAAGAAGAGGGGGACAACTTATTCTCCAAAGCACCAGAGGGAAGGACAAGAAACAATGGTTGGAAACTCGTCAAGGAGAGAAGCAATCTAGAATTAAGGACTAACAGTGAAGACAATTAACCAGTGGAACAGCTTGCCACCAGAAGTTGCAGGTGCTTCATCCCTGGAGGTTTTTAAGAAGATACTGGACAGTCACTTGTCTGAAATGGTATAGGGTCTCTTGTTCGAGCAGGGGGTTGGACTAGAAGACCTCCGAGGTCCCTTCCAGCACTGTTATTCTAAGTTCTACGTACGTCGTAAAGCTGGCACCAAAACTGCTGAACAAAGGCATCCAGAAAGAGACATATTCCCAATTTAAGCAAGCAACATTAAGCTGAAACAATGCCTTATGTCTGTCAACCCATCCCAAGGCTAGGAAGCCAGCAGAGAACAATGCAATCACGCATTCCATATTTTAAGTGGAAAGGGAAGAGGAGAAAATTACTCTAAGAATTGCTAACAATTAATCTTTTAAAAGTCCTTCCAGAGCTCCAGGCTGAAAGCGGAACCATCGGATGGATGCCTCTTCGAACGATAGATTTTAATTTTTCGTGGAGAGATCCCCAGATTGTGGGAAGAAGGAAGGAAGGAAGGAAGGAAGGAAGGAAGGAAGGAAGGAAGGAAGGAAGGAAGGAAGAAAGAAAGAACAAGCCGGGTGTGATACACAATATTTTGCACACCACTGCGCACAGAGCCTGCAAACACACTGGAGCCACTGAATTTTCAGGCCACGGCAGCCACGGATGTCGCCCCAGGATGTTGGCCTGCCTTGAAGACGTGACGGTGTCAACTAGCTCGGGGGGGCCCCAAGGGAGTGTGGCATTTTGGGAGTGGCTGATGGACCAGAGAACACCCTACCTTCCCCCTGTGCATACTTGGCTCCCTCTGTCTCCATCCTGCTTAGTTTTATTTTAATTGCATTTAATTGCATTCCAGATCTTTATTTACTGTTTTAATGTTTTATATAGTATATTTTAATCAATGTCTGTAAGCCACACAGACTCGTCTTTGGAAAGAGGGTCAGCAGACAAGTCTAATAGATAGGTAGATAGAGAAAGAGAAAGGGGGGTGGGATGGACAGATAATAGATAGATAGATAGATAGATAGATAGATAGATAGATAGATAGATAGATAGATAGATAGATAGATACGATTGATGAAACATATAGATAGAAATTATAGACACATGATAAATAATGATAGAGAAATAAGATTGATTGATATAGATGGCTGGATATATGGCTGGTTGAATATATGATAGATAGATAGATAGATAGATAGATAGATAGATAGATAGATAGATAGATAGATAGATAGATAGATAGATAGATAGATAGATAGATAGATAGGAACAGACTCAGGCTCAACCCTTCCAAGACCGAGTGGCTGTGGTTGCCGGCGTCTCGGTATGGTCAGCTGACGCCATCGCTGACTATAGGGGGCGAATCTTTGGCCCCCTCAGAGAGGGCGCGCAACTTGGGAGTCCTCCTGGATTCACGGCTGACTTTGGATGACCATCTGTCGGCCGTGACCAGGGGGGCGTTTT